TCTATGAATTTTGACTCCTTGCCCTCTGGGATCTATAAATTTTGACTCCTTGCTCTCTGGGATCTATGAATTTTGACTTCTTGCCCTCTGGGATCTATGAATTTTGACTTCTCGCCTTCTGGGATCTACAATTTGTATGAATTTTGACTCCTTGCCATATGGGATCTATGAATTTTGACTCCTTGTCCTCTGGGATCTATGAATTTTGACTCCTTGCCCTCTGGGATCTATGAATTTCGACTCCTTGCCCTCTGGGATCTATGAATTTTGACTCCTTGCACTCTGGGATCTATGAATTTTGACTCCTTGCCTTCTGGGATCTATGAATTTTGACTCCTTGCACTCTGGGATCTATGAATTTTGACTCCTTGCCTTCCTTGATCTATGAATTTTGACTCCTTGCCCTCTGGGATCTATGAATTTCGACTCCTTGCACTCTGGGATCTATGAATTTTGACTCCTTGCCCTCTGGGATCTATGAATTTCGACTCCTTGCCCTCTGGGATCTATGAATTTTGACTCCTTGCTCTCTGGGATCTATGAATTTTGACTCCTTGCCCTCTGGGATCTATGAATTTTGACTCCTTGTAGTCTTTTGTTATTGTTTAGTTGGTAAAATTATTTGAAACCTCTTGTGTTATACTGACGTATTGCTCTGTTCATCAAATTAGGTATTATTTGTCTTCACTATAGTAAATCATGTCATACATGCAATTTTAGCAAATTTGATTCAATGCATGAATAAACAGAATCTTAATTTACTAGTAGCTAATGTGCCAACAATCTCATTGTGAGAGTATACTGTATTTTAAGTTAACATTCTAGCTTGAAAGACAAGTTTTACAGTAGGGAAAAGCTTGATTTTGTAATAAACTTTATCGCTGATCGTCAAACAGTAGTTGATTTTGGGTAACATAATTGTTGAATAGAAGATAACAATAGAAGCAATTTAAAACATAAGTATGAAACATGAAAAAAAGAAAAACCAACTTTCTAGGAAGGTACCTTGGGTGGTTCTCTCTCAGATTTGTTCATTTTGTGTGGATATGTTCAATTGTTAGCTCCGCTGTCGACTTTGTCGAGCGGAGCTTATAATATCATATGAGTGATTGTCCGTCGTCGCCCGTTGTCCGTGTCAATGTTTTACTTTTTCGACTT